GCTGAGTGGACAGAGCTCGGGTTTCGTAGCCCTAAAGGTCCGAGTTCGATAACCGGCGGAAACGGAAACAAATGGGCAGAGTTTATTTCACCCCAATGCCCCTGTTCGCCTAGCAGTAAATAGGTACCTGGGAATTAGACAGCTGCTACGGGCTGCTTCCTGGCGATGTGTGTGAGTCAAAATTACGATTAAGGACTTGCCCGAAACGCTATGCGTGCTAGTGGCTGTACAAGAATGTAAGAACCCTTGTATATATATAAATAAAATAAATAAAAAAATATTACTTGACACCCTCTTGTGAAGATTACATTTCCTATAATACTTGTCAGTTTTCATTTTTGTTATCGAGATCATGTGCAGTTGTCCCTCTGCCACTCTTTCACGTAACTATTCCTTTATTAGCAATTCCGTCTTCATTTGTGTGCATTATATTTATGCTGCTCATGACAGTTGGGCTGCTTTTGTTTTCCCCGAGGAATATATGTTCATGTGTTGACTTATCTGATTGGGAGAGGGGGGGATATGGTGAACCAGTTCCTCTTGCTTATTTGTTTGTGCAGATATTATGTCATGAAGTTATTAGGAGGTTCGGGATCATTGCCTGCAGTTAACTGTCATGATTAATTTACCCGAGGGTCACCATCTGTATAGTGGCCTCGATGTTGACAGGAAATCGGCGGTTTCTCAATTTAAGGTCACCACCCCTTCCCGCCCTTATTCTTATTCTTGGTGACTTTTTCCATCTGAATTTTAGAATAGGGTAATGTCTTTACATTTACCGCTTCCGCGGATATATAGGCGATTACATAGGCTCATTGCCCCTGTGGGTGAAAAGCATCTACTATTAGTCCTACATTGTACTCACCTCGTTGTATTTGTGGGGGATGAGCTATGACTCTTGGTTCCCCCCTCTCAACTTTTCCCACTCTCTCTTCTTCGTGATACGTGCAGTTTGCATGAAGGTTTTCCTCGCAATGACTGCTCTCAACTCTTAATCGACTGGTGTATAGGTTCCGGAGCCTTTTGGACTGTCATATCTACAAATTTACAGTTGTCCATGTAGTCTGCCTCCACCACTTCACTTCTTCGCACATTCCAGGCTCGAGGCAGTACTCTCATACGGGTACTGTGTTATGCTACCTTCTCCAAGAGAGAGGCGGCCTTACCTTGTGAGAGTACAACTTTTTATTTTAAAGGGAGTTGTCAGAGTTGTCATCTGGACCTATTTCACTACAGATAATGTCAGCGTTAACGTTACGATTAATATGTGTACTAGGAAGATATGAGGATGTGTTTCGTTTTGTCGGGGACAGGCAGCCTATTTATATATATACTTTATACTTTAATCGAGGTCCCCGTAAGGTGGAACTACTGGATGCAACCCCACAACAGTTGCCTAACTCGCAGGTACCTATATATTGCTAAAGGAACAAAGGAATTAAGTGATGGGAAACGTCCCCAACTATTTCTGTTCCGCCCAGGACTCGAACCCTGGATTTCCGATTATGAGTTGAGCACGAAGCCAGCATACAACTGTAGGTTTTGTATACTGGCAGTATACGTGAATATTGTTCGAGCAACATATCGGCTTGGTTGTATAGGTAAACTTGTTATCGTTGTTGTATCAGGACTACACCAAGAGTTACATAATTGTTTATGTGAGCCAGCCAGCTATGTGATACTAAAACTGCCCAGCTTCCATGATTTTTTTTTCATACACCCCCACACAGCACCGCTCCTGTGCCAGGTAAGTCCCCTACGGGCTCACCATAGCCCATGCTACTTGTCCCACTGTGCCAGGTAAGTTACGGGCTCACCATAGCCCGTGCTACTTGGAACTTGTTCCGAGTAGCTGAATCTATAGCAACAACTTGATTGTTGCTCATAGAGGGGAGTGTGAGCAGTGTCCGGCTCTGGCCAACTTTGAACACGAGTGCTCCCGGGCGCAGGTTCGAATCCTCGTCACGGCCCTTGTGGATTTGTTCAGGAGAGTGGCTATATTAACAGTGAGACATTTTTGTCATTAACACATTTAGGTACAGCTGCATTTGTGCAGCTTCCTAGAGTATATGAAGGGGAGTACAGTGTCTCACGAACCTACTACCTGATGCTAAAAATCCCATTCGCGCAGGATGGTTCGGCACTAACAACTCTGCGGGAGTTTCTCGCAGGGATTGGGCACGGGACGACTATATGTTGGTGTTTAAGATTCGCTACTTAGAACAAAACGTTCCAAGTAGCACGGGCTATGGTGAGCCCGTAGTGGATTTGCCTGGCACAGGAGAGAGGCTGTAACTTGGACGACTGTAATTTGCGTAACTACTATTTAGTTATTTTTGTACAAGAAGGTACAGGGGGTTGAAAAAGTACGTATATTGGGGTTTGAGTGTAACATTCTTGCATAGCCACTAACACGCACAGCGTTTCGGGCAGTTTGTACTGCCTGAAACGCTGTATTAGAATGTATTAGTACTTTGTATTAGTTTGTACAGTCCGTCGTTTGTACTTTATGAATTACTGATATCTGTAATTCCCCAATTGTATAAACGCTTATCCATAGCATACGTTAGTGCAGCCTATCATAACTTAACTAAAATATATAATTGTGATGCGTAATTGTTAATTGGTCTTTTCATACTGCTTATGCAGCTATATATCGTTTGTCTGCTGATGTTGGTGATTTTTTTTTGCAGGGATATTTCTGCACGACCTTTGTGTCCAGTGCATTGCTGTACGACCCTTGTGTCTAGTGCATTGCTGCACGACCCTTGTGTCTAGTGCATTGCTGCACGACCCTTATGTCTAGTGCATTGTTGTACGACCCTTGTGTCTAGTGCATTGTTGTACGGCCCTTGTGTCCAGTGTATTGCTGTACGACCCTTGTGTCCAGTGCATTGCTGCACGACCCTTGTGTCCAGTGCATTGCTGCACGACCCTTGTGTCCAGTGCATTGCTGCACGACCCTTGTGTCCAGTGCATTGTTGCACGACCCTTGTGTCCAGTGCATTGCTGCACGACCCTTGTGTCCAGTGTATTGCTTATGTAAGCAATACTTAGGAGGTGGGTGTTGAATGACGTCAATTGCCAATGTGGTTGTTTGGTGATGTGGCTGTGACGAGCGGTACAACTGTGCGTGACTATACTGGTGGTGTCGGTGATAGCTACACGCCATGTTGGGTTTGAACTTAATTTGTTTACTATTAACTCCATGCCATCTGTAACGGACCCCCCAGTCTTATATCATTTTTGTAGTTTGGTTCATGTATTATGCATCCCTATAGCCACTTTATGACTGGTAGTTGTTACTGAGGCACACAATAGGCTCAGTAACTGAACTCCAAAATTATTTTAGCAAAGCTAGTTACAGTATTGATGTGGTAGCATTTATTAACATGTCTATATAAATTTTATTAAGTCGTCGTTTCTCCATCTTTGTAATACTCTGATCTGTCATTAACAAGTTTAGGTATACACAGCAACGTGCTGCTACCCTATTCTATATGATATATTACACAGTGTAGATCAACAACTAGCTTTAAGTTCATCTAATATTCCCATCTCACAGGATGGTTAGTCATACATGGAATCAGGAGAGAAAATACCTGCCTCGATACCAAAAAAAAAAAAAATTAAATTGACTAAATAATAACTTTATGATTTTTATAAAAGTTAAGCATTGCATCATGGGAAATATTATATTATAATTATTTTTTACCTGTTGCTATAAGATTCCTCTCAAATAATATTTTTTTTTCTATGGCAGGTGGCTACAGGTAATGAATTCCCCAATGGTGAACATTACAATTGTAAACTATGTAAACAAGGGCTAGGACATACTTTCTAACACTATATCTACGATTGTCCTGTTATCAGTGATTTCAGGGGCCTGACGGCTGAGTGGACAGCGCTTGGGGTTCGCAGTCCTAAGGGTCCGGGTTCGATCCCCGGCGGAGGATGAATGGATTGGATTGCATTCTCCGTGGTGTAGTGGTAAGACACTCGCCTGGCGTTCCGCGAGCGCTATGTCATGGGTTCGTATCCTGGCCGGGGAGGATTTACTGGGCGCAATTCCTTAACTGTAGCCTCTGTTTAACGCAACAGTAAAATGTGTACTTGGATGAAAAAACGATTCTTCGCGGCAGGGGATCGTATTCCAGGGACCATAGGATTAAGGACTTGCCCGAAACGCTACGCGTACTAGTGGCTGTACAAGAATGTAACAACTCTTGTATATATCTCAAAAAAAAAAAAAAAAGATTGACCAAGTCAGTTCAGTTAGATTGACTGAGTCAAGTAGGATTGACTGGGTCCAGTAGGATTGACTGGATACAGCAGGATTGATGGGTCCGGTAGGATTGACTGGGTCAGTCAATCAGTCCTGACCCCTTCCAAGTGCTATAATTCGTAATGGCTAGGCGCTTTTCCCCTGATAGTTCCCTTCTCTGATAAGTGCGCTATGTTAACAAACACAGTTGTACAAACAGTGCGCTAAGCACTGTTAATGGAAGTGCTAATTATATGATTAAGTGTCTTGTATTTATTCATCATCTTAACTTTATTATCAACTTCTATTGTCTCGTTTTGGTCATAATAGTCGTTTCTGCCCGAAACGCTATGTGTGCTAGTGGTTTACAAGAATGTCAAGCAACAAGTTTCTGTACTCTCATAAACCCAATGTACCTTCTTGTATATAAATAAATAAATAAATAATAGTGTCTTGGAAGACGAGAAGAGCGGCGACAAGTTCACTACGGGCTCACCATAGCCCGTGCTACTTGGAACCTTTTGTTTCAGGTCCGAAACGCTGCGCGTACTAGTGGCTTTACAAGATTGTAAATACTATTCTATGTATTCTCTCAAACCCAATGTACCTTCTTGTATATAAATAAATAAATAAATAGGTAGCGAATCTTAAACAACAACAACAGAGCGGCGAACACTACCCAGCGCACGTGTATATACGAAAGGGTTCGTGTATACAAACTTGTTTGTGAACGAACTGATTTTTTTTGTGTACTGACCGACGGTATCCGAAACGGTAATACAGTAGTCGTTCTGACCAGTCCTCATTTATCCAGGCCCCATTTGGCCAGTCCTCAGTTGACCAGTCCACAGTTGACCAGTCCCAATTTGACAAGTCCCCATTTGACCAGTGCCCAAGTCTACGGACCACATCTGATTCTTCAGTTCACTTACCAGTAAATAAGTACTGTACCTGGGAGGTAATTTGTAATTATAATTGTAGTAATTAAAGTAACTTAAGTTAATTATGAGGGCGAAAGCAGTAAGCCAGGATAACTATATGGCAATTGGAGGGTGTATAAGTTTTGTTCTTATGAGAGAACGTTTTTGTTCTCATGTGTTCTTGATGAGATCAACTCTGTCATGTCTTGTTTGTAGTGTGGTTAGCCCTGTGGCCCTCCACTATTCATGGTGAGAGTCAACTTAGTTCTGGGATGATTTTTGTCACCTGGTGTTGAACTTTCTCCAAAGCAGATGTGCCTTTCTGAAGATGAGGCCTCTATGCTTGGATACAGTAGTCCTAATGAAGGCATACCAGAAATTGTTACAGTCGAGTAACTTTTTTCCTTGAAGTCAAAGGTTCATTTGATTGTTTTTAGGGTTTGGTTGACTTTTTTACTGCAGCTCCCACTTGTGCTGCAGTAAAGGTTGATATAGTAGTTGTGATGTACATTGTTATCCCCCCATATTTATGGTCTTGCATTTTCTATATTAAAAAGCATTTGCCAGTATTTTAACCATTTGTGGAGTTCATGTAGATATCTTTGTAAGACCTCAATGTCATTTTCATCTTTTACTTTACCATAAATCTTAGTGTCATCTGCAAATTTCATGTGATTTGTAATATCTGTGTCATTGATATATTTGACAAAAATGGTTGGCTCCAAGATGGAATCTTGTGGTACTCCCTCTTACCACATTTCTCTAGTTAGATTAATTTCTTTGCTGTAACCATTGTTCTATTCATTCTAGTACTGTATTATACTATTCCATGAGCTTATAATTTTTTTGGTATCTTTTATATGGTAGCTTATGAAAAACTTTAGAGAACTCCCTATTTGTCTGAATAGCTGGTTATCGTTTCCAAGAATATGAGCAGATTTTATAGCTTGGTTAGAGACTAGGCCGCAGGAACATTGATCATCAGAACCATCGACATGTATGCGTCAGGACACAACATATTTTTAACAAAACCATGTGTTCATTTTACTAGGTGGGAATGATTCCCTCCTTTGGATTCTCTCCATAAGCTTGCAGATATGTGAGGTCAGGCTGATAGGGTGGTAGTTTTTTGCAGAGCTCTTTCAGCATTTTTTAACAATAGGGGTGATATTTGCATATTTCCTGTCTAGAGGAACTATTCCTTGGTCCCGAGATTTTCTGAAAAGAAGTTTCAGTGGTAGACAATGTTCATCTGCCAGTTCTCTTGTCTTGTGACTTTGGCTTGAATTCCGTCCACACTTTGGGCTTGAATCTTTTAGTTTATCAGTGCTTTTCCTGATTATTTTGCATATTAAAAATATTCCTTAATTCATTCTTATCACCTTCTTTAAACATTTGTATGGGTATTGGGATGTGTTCTAATCTTTGTAGTGTGAACACTGATGTAAAGTATTCATTTAGTGTTGGCTGCCCTTCTATCAATTATTATTGGGTTTCTCTCATCTTTTAAGGGTCTTACTGAATATCTTGTTTAGGCTTTACTTCTTAAGTAGTCATAGAAAGGCCTTGGATCTTTGTTTTGAGCAAGTTTTCTTTCATAGTTTCTTTTGGCTGATCTGATTTTCTGTAGATTTCATAATATATATTGTTCTTTATGGATTGATACTTTTTTCAGAGGTTGTGCATCATTATTAGAGCTTTATATACTACTTGTGTCATCCATCTAGTTGAACAAGTTCGGTTATGACCTTTTTTAAAATTTTCTCATGATGCTTCCATACCTTCATCTCCTATTAACTCCCTCCAGTTGATGTTTTGCCATTCCTATCTTATTCCTTGATTGTCTCCTCAAGGCTAGTCTTATATCATTATCCTGGGCTAGTCTTGTATCATTATCCTGGACTTTTATATTGGTTTCTATAATTCTGATCTTAGAATATTTTATCAACATACAGTATGCATTTGAATTTTTATTTTTCAGCAAGCAGATTGCAATGAAGTACTATGAAGAAGCCAAAAACTCTGAGGACAAACGGCCGTGTGCTGGTCTTCGTGAGGATTTGAAAGCGTGTCTCTTAGCCACAGACTGTGTTAGATTGGTAGGTGAAAATGATGATAAAGATATGTTTCAGGTTGAATTATGTATATTAAAAAAAAAGTGTTTTACTTGTCATGTCTTATCTGCCTTTCTCATTTTCAACTACAGTACTTTGTTTATAAAATCTTTCTTCACTCTCATAATTAAGATGGTTGTCTGAATCATCCTTACTCCATCTGATAACTCAAAACCTGTAACCCTCACTTATCTCCATTGTCATGCAGCTTAGTTCATTTTCATTCATTACAAAATCAAAATCGTTAGACAATGCTTTTTCAGTCTTCACAATCTTAAAATTTTAGATGTACAGAAACCCAACATATTCAGCAAATTATCTCTACTATTACAGTTTCCAATGAGCAGATGGAGGTGCAGTGTTTAGGCATCTTTTTAGAATTATGCATTTGTTTGTCTCAATATTTAGAACAAGAAAACAATCATTTCTTCTCACAGATTGTGAAACTAGGTTATTCATATTGGTTATATGGGAAATGCTGACAAAGGTTAGTGTAATTGTTTTGGACAAGGGCTGCTCAGTGGCCCAGCCAGAGGCTTAGGGCCTGCGCAGGAATATTCCTCCCCCCCCCCCCCAAAAAAAAAAAAAAAAAAAGTGGCTTTCCTAAGCCACTTTTCAAGCAACTTTCCTGGGCTGCTTGGAACTGCTTGTTACGTAAAAGGTAAAGTCTATTTTAGGCACTGTGAGGTAGTGGCTCCTCCATCAGGTAGGAGTTCCTGCAAAATAATGTGTGTGTCCTGCATTGGACACACCCTGGATAGTGATAGTATGCCAGGTCCTGAGTGACTTTGAACCCCAGAATGATACATACCTTTTCAAATTGTCTTGTCTCTAATAAAGTGGGCAGGCAGCTCAATGGGGAGCATATCTTAATCTACCCAGAGATAAAAATGCATACACAGGAACCCTTCAAACCACTGAATATTCCTCATCCAAACAGTCATTGGCAAGTTAAAAAATTGTAAAGAATTGCTCGGGAGTACCAGTTGGCCACTAGCCAACTACACCAAACACTTCTAGGTGCCAGCAATAATGTACAAACTGGTTGGGAGAGGTGATTACCCCTCACTCTACAGAGAGGCATCTGTCCTGTAGCACCAGGTTCTGCAGAAACTGGTATATTCAGTTAAAGACAGATTGCTTATTCTTGAGACTTACAGGGATCAAATTTGAAGGATCGAGAATCATTTACAGAGGATTTTGAGTTGTTTTGTTTCACCTCCATGGCAGTTTCCATGTCATAGTGCTCAGGCTTGTGTTCCATTCACCTGGGCAGTACGGGTCTTGATCCATCGACCATACATGTGTAAGGCTGACGCTCTGTCGCCTGGGCTATGAGCAATCTTAAAAAGGAAAGTTTCCAGAAGCAGCATCCTGCTGCCAAACTGGAATTTTTTGAAACTTCGGAAAAAGGAACTTTCCTTTTTAAGAATGCTCATAGCCCAGTTGATAAAGCGTCGGCCTCACACGCATGTGGTCTGTGGATCGAGACCTCATACAGCCCGGTGAATGGAATGTTTATTTCCACGGAGGTGTGGATGGCAATTTATACGATGTGGACGTGGGTCAGTAATTTCTCTGAGCTTCAGTAGTAGTCAAGGAAAGTCGAAAATTCTAGTTTGGCAGCAGGATGCTGCTTCTGGAAACAACTTTAAGACTGCTCATAGCCCAGTCAATAGGGCATTGGCCTCACACAAGTGTGGTCCATGGAAGGAGACCCATACAGCTCAGGTTAATGGAATGTTTATTTCCACAGAAGTGAATGGTAATTTATTTGAGTGTGTTGTTTGTGCCCAGCAAGTTTTATGACCTAGGGGATAAGCAAGCTATCTATGGTTTTACCATCTTTGTATTTGTTGTGCATGAAGACTCGTATATTTCCTATTCCCCTCACCTGGAAGTTGTGGCTCCTGGGGGGCAACACACTTCTTTTGAGGAATAGAGGTAAAATTCTTTGATTGGGTTGTGATTGTAAATTGTACCCAATTTAGTTGGGTTTGTGAGGCCCAATTAAATTGGGTAGTCTGGCTAATGGGCCTTGCTGGACTTGACATTGGTGGGCACTAGAGCATCATTATTGGTTACTGGGTTGCCATTCAGAGTTCCTGGTGATTACCTCCATTTACTCTCCCTGTTACCCCTAGGAAAGGCCCAGGTACTAATACCTTCCCTTACTGGGCTCTGAGATGGGTGGGTTTGCAAGGAAATGAAATTCAATATCTTGTATGTTTCTAAACTCCCCCTACTATGAGTCATGTGTTGGGTAAACACGTCCTTCAGGATCAGTTCTTCAGGATCAGTTTTTTCTTACCCATAGTGAGCTCCCTAGTGGCTCCACAGCCTCTGCTGTGTTGGGCCATGACTTGGAAAGTGATGCTATATTGCCTTCCAGGTTTGACACTTTCTTTTGAGTACTATTACAGTACTGTACATTATTTGGTTTTAAGAATATAATCATTGCCTTTCTCCCTTTCAGTTTGGCTTTCACAACAGTTACTGCACAACTCGCATACTGTTGATTTTGATATGTATATTCATAAGGCTTGTAACTAGGGAAAGCATATGATGTTACCTTGAGATATAATATTTTAGACTAGTTTCATTCTGTTTATCTTTGGGTTTTTTGCTTTCTTTTGATAATTGCCTGAATTGTTTGAAGGGCTTCTGTGTGTCAAAAGCCAATCAGAACTTTTAAAGAAGTAAACTGAGGTGTCATTTACCTCAATGTGGATTGTGGTATGTTCTCAACTAAAGTTTGCACCCATATATATATATATATATATATATATATATATATATATATGTCGTACCTAGTAGCCAGAACGCACTTCTCAACCTACTATGCAAGGCCCGATTTGCCTAATAAGCCAAGTTTTCATGAATTAATTGTTTTTCGACTACCTAACCTACCTAACCTAACCTAACCTAGCTTTTTCGGCTACCTAACCTAACCTAACCCATAAAGATAGGTTAGGTTAGGTTAGGTAGGGTTGGTTAGGTTCGGTCATATATCTATGTTAATTTTAACTCCAATAAAAAAAAATGATCTCAAACATAATGAAATAGGTAGCTTTATCATTTCATAAGAAAAAAATTTGAGAAAATATATTAATTCAGTAAAACTTGGCTTATTAGGCAAATCGGGCCCTGAATTGTAGGCTGAGAAGTGCGTTCTGGCTACTAGGTACGACATATATATATATATATATATATATATATATATATATATATATATATATATATATATATATATATATATATATATATATATATATATAATACACATACATACATACATACACACACTGTATACAGTTTTATAGAGGAAAATAAAATAACACAGTGGTGTAATTATTACATTCACTGATAAAAGTTACTATACAGTCTTTAATATTTAAAATTGTTATGGAAACTTTCTCACTCAATTTTTTTCTCTTTAGCATAAAAAAACTCCCAAAGAATGCCTCAAATCAAATGACCCATCTATACCCGAAGAGTGCCATGCTCTTCGTGTAACATTCTTTGAGTGTAAGCGTTCACTGGTAAGATTTCCTTCTCTATTTTCAAAGTGTATATCTAACATACACTAATGTAGTTTCTTAATAAATACTGTACTGTATACTGTACATGTGTTTTGGTTGTGTATTATATTGCATGTATTGGGCAGTAATATTGAGCAATATAGCATAGGGAGACTAAGCATTCCTGCAAAAATATAAGAAAATATGTAATGACTTTTTATTTTTTCAGTTGGATAATCGACAGAGGTTTCGTGGACGAAAGGGATACTGATACTGTACAGTATTTCTAGCTAAATCTTTTACACGTGTATATAGGTAATTCTGTAATATACAGTACTTCCCAGTTATGAAAGATTAAATTAAAAATTTTGTACATACTTTTAAGTTATTAAGTAATCAATGCTCAGTCACTCGAAGTTTGATTTAATATGAAAGAGTTTATAAAATATATTTTTCTGCAAACTTTTTGCATTTGAAAATTTTACTAAATTATTTGTTTGGTAATATGCATTTTAGAAAAAGGATATAAGCCTGAAATCTATTGACTTTTTGTCATCTAATTTTTTTGCAATGAACTACACGTTCACAATTGTAATTTGTGAAGTAACATTACAGTACTGTACTGTAATCAAATTTCTACGTCCAGATCTGGTTTAACCAGCAATGCTTGAAAATTAGTTTTCTGGACATGCTCTTGACTTTTCAAACTTACCAATATGAATCCTACTAATATAATAATTTGAGGAAGACGATTGTGAGAGGGATAAACTGTTAATGATATGTATACTGTTTATGTTGATACAGTGCACTTTGCTGAGAGTGAGATGGAATGGCAATTTTTTTTAAATAGTTCGTGAATGAGTTCATTAGTGTGGGCAAGAAGAAAGTGGGTCAGTGTAGGAAAAGTAAGATTATGGTATTTGAAAGACAAGAATGAGATGTGGATTTGGTTGAGTACTATAGAATGGTAAGACTGATTTGAACTGGAGGGTTAAAAATAAGGAAGATGTACTGGAAGTTGTAGGAAGTTTTAAATATTTGGATACAGTGTAAGATAAGTAGGAAGTGCATTAAGAAGAAATAATGAGCAGGATAAGAGTGGTAGGAGAGGTGAAAGACTATAATAAATGTAACAAATGTTAGTATGGGAGTTAAGAAAAGACTACGAGATAGTACAGTATATACAATTCCAGTCCTGACATGGAAGAGAAACTCGGGTACGGAAGATAAATTTGCATTTGGAGTGGGGGGGGGGGGTTGTTTAGAGGAGCAACTGGTGTGTGTTGGGATTACGTATAGTGATGAGAAAAGGAGAGTTGAAGGAAAGAGGGAATAAAATGGGGTGTTGAAGCAAAATACACTGAAGTAGTATAGTCATGTTACTAGAATGCCAGTGATTGTACAGAATGCCCGGAATACTCCCCTTTCCTCCAATGCTGGCTCCAACTTGTGATTGATGCTGTGTCATCCTGGGCCATCAGTTGTGGCCTCAAGTTCTCATTTAAGACTTGGGCTATGACTTTTACTTGGAGGCAGGTCGTTCTTTGTACCCCATTGTCACTCTGTGGTAGTCCCCACCTCTAAGGATTCTGCTGAACTGTTGGAATTGATTTTGGCACACATTTGTCTTAGTTACATCTCTCTTACCTCTGAGCCAAATGCTCTATGACCATATGTTAATTCGAGCCTTGTTTCATACTTCCTGGGTTGTTGATAAATGCGCATTACTCTATTTGCACTCCTCTCTTGTGAAGTTTAAACAGGATTATAGCTGCCCTGCCTACTCTGCCTCTCCTTTGATCCTTCATTATCTTAATGTTCTGCACCATGCTGGGTTGCGCCAGAGTTGATTGGCCTTCATTCGTCCCCTATTCAGAGCTTGTGCGATAAGACCTACCATTAATGTATAATGACTTACTGTAAATATATAGCTCTTGAAATAGCACTTTCTCTGTAATTAGCTGACATTGTATCTATAAGGTGTGAAGGATAGATGAAATTGTTTATGTAATAATCTAAGATGAGGTCTGATAAAGACCTTTTGTGCCCTCTGTAATGTTTTTTGTGCTACCGCTCACAGGATGAGTATGGGGTGCACAATAAACTAGCCTCCTCCGGCGGCAACAATAAAAAAAAAATAAAAATCCAGGATTGTTGAGATCATTACTGCCTTCACTACCCTGCAAAGTCTCCAACATTTTTATTCTTGTTTTTGCTGGGCTTTGACTGTTGGGAAGTCCTGTTCCCTTTCACCTCCTTCCTTTTTCTGTTTGAATGTCTCGCTTACAGGCCTCCTTTTCGGTTTGTTACCAACATCTTTCTTCGCTTTGTTCCGTCCTTACCACCATGGAGGATTCCACTTGCAAAGTTTAGCAGGACTCTGAACCACACGGTAAAGGTTTCTACCATTTCCTTTGTTATGAAGCACATTTTTCTTAATATTTTTCGTTGCACTTAAATTCTGTTTCCCTCTTAACAGATGGTTCTAAGTCTGTTGCCGGTGTTGGATACTCTGTGGTCTTTCCAGACCAAACCTTTATTTGCTGTCTACCTGCAGAGGCTACTTTCTTCACAGCTGAACAGTATGTGATATTGTATGCTTTTTGTCAATTACTTTTCTATCTTGAGCACTCCTTTGTCATTGCAGTTGACTCTCACAGTGCTCTACTGGCTCTGGAGTCATTTAATCCTATGCACCCTCTTGTCTTCAAAATCCAATATTGGCTGTTTCTTGTTTCTAGTTGTTTTAAGCAAGTGAGTTTTGCTGGGTTCCCAGCCATATTGGTATTCCCTCAAATGAGTGTGGGGACTGCCACTAAGGAAGCTATCCACACTTGTCTTATTTCCCAAAAAGGCATTACTTACTCAAATTTTTACTGTCATTCATTCCTCAATCTGTGTCCAATGGTCTTGTGATCTTTGGTCTTGTGATACTGGTAATAAATTGGCTACTCTTAAGGGTAGCCTGTCCCCTTGGTCTTCCTCCACCCACCGTAACCAGAGGTGGGAAACAGGTCTGGCCCATGTAATGGAACATCTCCCAGTTCCTTATTGTCCGAACTGCATTGTCCCTCTTACAGTCCTTGTCTACTGTCTAGATTTTCAGGATGCTCGTGAGTCTTGGTTCCCAACTGTCCCTTGGCAAATCCAGTTCTTTTGATATCCTTTGCTTTATGAGCTTTTGTTCTCACATTGGCATCCCGTGTGTTATTTAGACTTGCATATCCAGTGACGCTGATAGTGCTACATAGTCTCCCCAGCTTGCCATCTTTTGATAATTACTTAATGAAGACTATAGAGATTCTATAATGTAGTTGCTATCAAAGAGCAAGCACTGCAAAACGTTTCTTGATTTAAATTATTGGGTAAATAATACATATGTCTTATATACAGCAGATATTTTATATATAAATGTAACAAATCTATAAAAATATAAAAGTATCAACACTTATAACAATAAGGCAAACTGAACATCTTATTAATTATGTACTACCATCTGGACAAGTCTTTACCTAAACCATTAATTTTCATGCTTGTAATGGGATACTCTCAGCAGTGTTTACAATTATCTTTTGAAGAAAGGAATACATTTGTCTAATATATTACAACTTTGTAATGATATATTTGCAGAGTTTAATAGAGGCCTATTTTTTTTTTTTTTGCCCAAGTACAATATTCTTAGAAGAGGACACAGGAGTACAGTAACTTAAAATATTCAGACCAGGATATGTACACCATTTATTAAAAAAAAAAAATTGTCTATGCCCCCTATTAGTTAGCCAACTTTTTTCATTGGAAATGTCCAAAAATGGAAAAAATTGAAATTATTCAGATCTCTTGTTCAGCAAAAAATTGCAGTAACCCAAATTCTTATTAGAGTTGAAAAATCAAGCAATTGAATTTATTGGAGTTTCTTGTTCAGTAAAACCTTGATCATTGTTGCATATATAAATATATATATATCACTTGTCAGGGGGGGAAATACCTGGCATTGCCTAGGTTGGTTTGACTCCCATCTGCTCAAAGATATCCAGAGATATCTTTTCAAGGCCAAGCTAACAAATATCTGGTATATTTATAATGAAATTGCCTATACTACAGAAAACCGAATTCTTGAAAACATTTTGCCGATAGCCAGCTCCAAAACAAATATTGTAGTGGGCTATCTATGTCCATCTCACTAACATTGTCTGGAAAATGCTAACCCATTAGGTTCTCAGGCCTTGCCCTTTATCCACAATCTGAAACCTCGGCACCCCTCCTGATGATCCAAGTGAATTAAATGTTATTACCCATGATATTGTTGATTACATTTTGTATAACATGGATGAAAGGGATGCCAAAGGATTTAAAATTTCAGATAAAGCAGCAGTTAGCTAATTTCTGAGACTCTCATTGTGAGCATCCTGGCCTAGTTGACAGACAGCCTTTTATTTTGCAGGTTTGAATTCCTGTACAGTTTTTTTTTTTTTTTTTTTATTAAACAAACTTATACTAAAACGCATTCCACTTGCAGATAGTTATGCAATTCCTGTAAAATGTTGAAGTACCCTCTTGTAAATAAGTTCCAATTTCACTAGGTCTACATTAACCACTGCACTGCACCAAACAACAAATGTCATTTTGAGAGTTGTGCATTTTTTTTTTACTTGGGCTATATTTTAATGTTTTCATCATCACTCGGTGTTTTGAAATTAAAATAGTTGAGTTTGGAAACATTTTGACATTACCTTTACCTGACCATTTATAAAAGCAACAAAAATATGTCCTTAACAATTGCACTATGAAGTTTTTGCCAAACACAGATGTGCAGTGCAGGGTTAAAGAATAAAGCTGCCAGTAAACAATTACAAATGACATACAGGAATCACTATTATTAGGTTGGCTAAATAACAGCCTATCTAAGAAAGCAAAACTATACAGGACTCTTGCAAAACAGTTAAATTTCAAAATCCAACAGAGATGATATAGCTATCTCACCATCAAGAGGTAAGAAGAGTCCAGCAATCGATTGAGAAGTTAATGATAAAAAATCTCTTGGTAATCATGCAACAAGGAGAGGCCATTGGACTATGACTACAACATATTAATCCATCCCAAAAATGGTGAAATCAGTCTGCAGTCCAAATATGCAATTATCCGTTATACAGTATTTAAATTAGGCTTGCTTACTACCATGGTATATATATATATATATATATATATGTATATATATATAATATATATTTTAGCTCAATAACAAAACAATGGAGTATCAATCATTGTCATGCAGTAATGAAGGACTTGCAATGCTGTTAATTAAAAGGCTTTCAAGACAGACATTCGGTTTGTACTGGTAACACAAGAATCAATTCTTCCTCATACAACCCCGAAGTGAACCACTTTCACTGTCCCCCCATCTTCTTCTTCGGTTGACACCTCTGTGGGGAAGAAACAATTTATTAAATTATTTGTATATACTGCATTACAATAATGCAACATGATCAATGATGCAATTTTAATATACTGTAATTTTATTAAAATTTAATTGTGATATTCTTTATCATAAGTAATAGAAAACTTATGGAAAAGACAAATAATAATGCTTAAGCTATTCTTTCAAGTATTTGCTCAAAACAACTAGTAACCAAAGCATGAATAGCTACTAAACAAATTTGTTTACATGAAGTTCTACAGAACTACATTAATTTTGTTTACTGAAAAATCTGTTTAACAATAAGGTCCTTTAGTAAAACAATCATATGTTAGCATGCCTCTTTTTCACACAGTATTCATAGCAGAAAGGTGCATGCAAAATTCTCTAAATTTTGGTTACTAACCATCTCCAAACTTTACATATTGAAGATCTATTAACAGTTCTAAATATATGCCGATGAGTTTTACATTTTGCCTGGCTTGTTAAGAAAGTGAAGAAATTGCCACCTGGTGCACCAAGGGAATAACTGTCTAAAATGATTAAGGAACCTTGCCTCAACAGACATACAAGAAGATAGAAAAAGAAACCATAAGATAAAATTTTGAGTGTAGATAGAAAATTAATTTCTGAGCAGACAACTTAGTTGCTTCCCTAGGTAATGTCCTACTCTTTCCAAGGACAGGCCCATACAAGAACCAGGTCAGATTGACAATTACACCCTGGTACAGCTGGGACTTTTCAAATGTCCGCAATACAGTAGGTCAAAGCAAGTGAAGACACACATGGGAGAAAAAACTCAAGTCCAGAATGAACCTCCAGAAGGCTCATTTATCTGCACTCCAAATAATATTCAACAAAGCTGCCTCACATATATAGCCTGACTAGAGTCCTAGGAGAAGTAATTATCAAAAGAAGGCACTAAGCTGGGAAGACTGATGTAGCACCATCAAATGTGTGGGAAATTCAAAAGGCACTAAATATCACTAAGGATGCTAATAGGAAAACAAAAGTGCATTAGTCAAACGTATCTAATTCATCAAGGAGTCTATCGAGGGACAGGTGACCACAAGGGGCAGTCTGGAAGCAAGACACACACACACATCCTAAAAATCAGAACATTCAACAAGGATATGCATGACCATACAAGGGACAATAAGGAGCAGGACGGTGCTCCATTAATTGCCCGCGAGTTAAACGTGTATGGCCAATATGTAACTTCACCATAGTCTTTTTTTCCACCACCGGTTATGATGGTAGGAGGAAGGCATGAGGACATGCTACCCTTAAGAGCACGCAGTTTGTTACCGGTAACAGAAGACCAACGATCCTGCCAACGGGCATTGATTGAGAAATGAATACTGGGTAGAAGTCGAAATAAGGAACACCTTTGCGAGAAAAGGGACAAGTGCGGATTTCTGCCTTAGCGGCAGCATCTGCACGTTCATTTAAGAAAGTCTCGGGAGAAGCCAGGATAAAATTGGAGCATCTGAGTGACCTCAGAATTTTTTGTTTACACTCAAAAGCCTCATTTTTATATGTACAGTGCCACTCAATTGCTTCCTTAGGCAAAAATAGCCACGGGAAGAAGAAGACAAACAGTACTGAAGAACAAATAGCACTTACCTGTATGAAGCACTTGCTTGATATCTCTGTAGATGGAGATATCCATTCACACAAACCTCCACTGGGAGTGATTATCATCAAAAAGACAATGTCGAGCACCACACAGACAATGCAGAGTGTCTGTGTGGAGTCCATTGGAGGTAATGGAATGCACACACATTTTTTTGTCTTCAAATACCCTCAGGACTGAATGTCAGCACAGTATATTGTAGAGAAGAATGCTTTGAAGGTTGTAAATATGTTAATTATGGGCAGGGAATAATCTGTGGATGACAAATTTCAGCTTTGCAAAGCAACCGAGATAAATGCACTTTAACACGGGCACCACAACACATGGGATCAGGAACACGGAATCCAGTGAGGAGTGGCAAAACATAGGGAAGCAGCTGGCAGATCATTACAGAGGCCCACTGATGGCAAACCACTGCAGTTCAGAACCCAAAGTTGGAGGGATAGGGGCAACAGAAATGGCTCTGTCGAAAAATCTGGAGAAGTATTCCACGTAACTGCAAGCAGTAAATTCCCGTCCTGAAGTGGGTGAGTTAACCAACTTCCTGAAAGTATGAGAACTGGCTGTCTGGGCCAACCAAACAATAAGCCCAGGTGTAAGAGAAGTGTTGTTGGTTACTGACTTTGAGCCATGTTGCACAGATGAGGGTGTTTGGAGCCAAGGAAAGGCAAGTAACACTTCAGGTGACTCAATTGCACCTAAAATCTGCAAGTGTCAGAGCAAAGTGCAATAAACACAAATATATTGCTAACTACTAATTCCCTATCAACTAGCCTCACACTGACTAGCAAATCTTAAGCATTACACAAATGTGGCCCGAAAAAACTTGACCCGAAATGGATAAACCCAAATGCCTCAGAGAAGATTGCTGTACTTTGATGAGGAATGGGAACAGCTAGAGGCCACTAGGGAAAAAATACCTTTAACAAAAGCCAGAGCAAACTAGAAAGTGAGGGAAATGTAAGGTCGTTGACATTAATACAATCTTGAATTGTTATAATTTAACGAGTAAGTCCCATGCCTCAGACCAGTGTCCAAAGAACTACTTAACTGAAGTGGAATGCCAGAACCACTTAGTTGAACAGCAGAGAAATAGTCCAAGTAGTGGCATCTTGTGGCAGCTTGACAAGTTGACAGAATGGTTGTTTACCTGTTGCCAGCAAACTTTAACTTTGTATTCAAAATGTCATTCTTGTCCCATTGAGCAGTAGCTTGCCTAGTTACATCTTTGACTTTCTGGTGGTTCCGAAGTAGTGTATATTTTTTATTCCTATATGCTCCCCTCACTTTGTCGAGAAAGTCTAACAAGCCTGATAATGGTTGACCCATAAGTGTATCAACAAACTTGCAAGGCAAGGCAAAGCCCGTAAACCGATTCAAATTTTACGAAGAAATTGAGCTTGTAACCTGAAAAATTTGTAAAGAAGGACGTTCATTACCCGAGGTTCCACTGTACCACAAACTCAGGGGAGTTATGGGAGACCAGGATACAAAAAAACCTTATTACAGAACTCTGAAAAACTATCAAGAAGAAATGTGCTGAACCCAATGTTTAATCACCAAGGTTAATAACACTGGAGAGCAGAAAAGTAGATGAAAATTTAACACAGGTCCCTTGACTTCTGTTCTTAACTGCAGCCAAGTGACCTGGAAGCAAGGCTTGTGTTCTTGCCCTGCCATAATCAAATTTGGTCTACAACAGACAAGAATGAGCGACAGCCAATGAACAAAAGAAAAACAAACCTCTCGAGAGAATAACAAAATGAGTATTTACACACTGACTTGGAATCAAATATCCTTAAGCTTGCACACCCAGTAATAATACTCCAGACGGAGACCAAGTCTTAAGGAATTGTGCGGGGAACACACCCAAGAGGAAAATGGCCAAAGTTGAGATATGACCTAGACCAGCAGAGAAAATAATTAACATCGGTTGATAAAAAACATGCAAATGACTAACTACAAACACAGTGGTGTTCACTTCATTAAGTTTACTGTACATAGATGCAAGTTAATTACTGTAAATGAATATGAGGTCTACACTTAGATGGGCAGCTCCATGCTATGTTGGTGACAATGTAGGTGCTGCCATCTGGTAGCAGCCAGGCAGACCAAATAAGAATTAACAGAGCAATACGTGGTTGGATTTTTTTTGTACATGAACATTCAATTTAGGATTGGACAGATTTTTTTCTCATGTGTCCTCTCAACTATGACAGCAGGGCTATGAACAGCAACCATCTTTAAAGATCCTTGCATATAATATCAAAGATTAACTGCTGTTGTATGATCTTGTCCTTGGGAAGAGCAGGACAGTGCATAAGAATGAAACCATGTGGTATAGCTCAGAAGAAATCTTTGTAGGGTAATGTGAAATCTGGGGATGGATGAAACAAATCCAAATTTTTATAAATATGACCTTTGAAAAGAATGTACAAGTTCAACCAACTTATTTCTTGTTGTAGGGTACATGATTGATTAAAGTGAAAGTACAGTACAAAGATTTTTCTTTGCAAATTCATTACAACATTCTTTAATATGTCATGGATGCATTTTTACTAAATGCATTTTCTTAGTATTTTCATTTCCTTTGTGAAAGACTTAAATGAATCAGTATGGATGTGCATTCACCAGGTGATTGTTACTCACCATTAGAGTAGAATTGAATTTAGAAACAAAAGGGACTAAAGATGGATAAAATGAAGAGAAGACATTGAAGAGGTGTCTGGTATCCAATATCCAAAAATTAAATTGTATATTGAAACAATCAAGTGTTGAATGCAAGAAATTATTTCTTTTGCATTTATATATTACATGACTTGTGATTTTTTAAATACAGTACTACTTACCACATGCCTCTTCAGTTTCTCCATTTTACCCATTTTTAGTCTCATATTTCAAATTTAGTCCCGCTCAGATGTTAAGCAACACTTGCCTGACGACTGTGAACCCATGCTGATGGCCATTTTTTAGCATTTCATCATATGTTCTATCATGTGAAGTCTGACATCAAATATTACCATACAGATTAATTATAATTGTGTTTTTATATCCTACAGTAGATTTTATATTTTATTTTAGCAGCATCTCAATTGTTATGCTGGAGTAGTGTCATGTTTCAAGTACAGGTCACTTCCCCATTCTCCTAATCTGTCTACATACATACATAGGAAGGTACAAGAAATGGTTGTTAGAGTTTAACCCAAGCAAATGTAATGTAACGGAGAAAGGTGTGGGGAGCAGGCAGCCAGATACAAGGTATCATTTGAGAGATGAAGTTCTTCAAGAATCGGAGAGAGACACCTGGGAGATGATATCACGTCAGACCTGTCCCCTGAAGCCCATATCAAGAAGATAGTAAGTAAGTAATT